AAACAAATCCAGTTACAATAGCATAAAAATTACTTAGTAATAAATTTAACGATGGTGGTGCAACATTTGTGCACTGAAAACTACAAAACAGTGCTGAAAGAAATTAAAGAACCCTAAATAAATGAAAAGACATTTTGCATCCATGGGTTGAAAAACTGTGTCACTAAGATGGTTATACTCCCCAAAGCAATTTATAGATTTAAAACAATTCCTGTCAAAATCCCAATGGCCTTCTTTGCAGGAATGGAAAAGTTAAGCCTAAACTGCAAGGAATCCTGAATAGTCAAAATGATCCCCAAAAAGAAAAAGCTGGAGGATTCAAATTTTCCAATTCCAAACTTACTACAAATCCACAGTAATCAAGACAATGTGGTACTGGCACAAGGACAGACATACACATCAATGGAAAAGAAGAAAGAGTAAATAAATAAACTCACATTCTCTATAGTAAACTGATTTTCAATAAGGGTGCCAAGACCACTAAATGGGAAGAAAACAGTCTCTTCAACAAATGGTCCTGGGACGACCAGATAACCATATAAAAAGGAATTAAGTTGGCCAGGCGCGGTGGCTCACACCTGTAATCCCAGCACTTTGGGAGGCCGAGGCAGGCAGATCACGAGCTCAGGAGATCGAGACCATCCTGGCTAACATGGTGAAACCCAGTCTCTACTAAAAATACAAAAAAACTAGCCGGGTGTGGTGGTGGGTGCCTATAGTCCCAGCTACTTGTGAGGCTGAGGCAGAAGAATGGCATGAACCCAGGAGGCGGAGCTTGCAGTGAGCTGAGATTGCGCCACTGCACTTCAGCCTGGGCAACAGAGCGAGACTCCATCTCAAAAAAAAAAAAAAAAAAAAGGAATGAGGTTGAACCCCTACCTCACACGCATTAAAAAAATCAACTCGAAATGGATCAAGACCTAAATGTAAAAGACGGAACTATAAATCTCTTAAATGAAAATCTAGCGGTAAATTTTCATGACCTTGTATTTGGCAATGGTTTCTGAGATATGACGCCAAAAGCTTAAGAACAAGAAAACAATAAATTGAACTTTACCAAAATATAAAACTTATGCATCTAATGACAATCTACAAAATGGGAAAAAATATTCAGAAATCATATAACCTGATAAGGGTCTAGTACCTAGAATACATTAGAAACTCTTACAATGCGACAATAAAAAGACAAGTAATCCAACTTAAAAATGAACAAAATATCTGAATAGACATTTCTCCAAAGAAAATATTCAAATGGCCAACAAGCACATAAAAAAAAGCTCATTATATTAGTGATAGGTAAATCAAAGCCACAATGAGATACCACTCCGTGTCCACTACGGTACTATAATAATTATTTTTACAAACTAAAATAGTAAGTGTTAAGGATGATACGGAGAAATTAGAACCCTTACATATTGCTAGTGGGAAAGTGAAATGATGCAGCAAGGACGGAAAACAGTTTGGCAATTCCACAACACATTAAACAAGACTACCATATCACCCAGCAATTCCACCAGGTATATAACCAAAAGAATTGAAATGTTTCAATTCAAACAAAAACTTGCATACATATATTCATAGCAGCACTATTCACAAAAGATATCACAAAGGTCAATACTTTATTTGTGACAACTAAAAACTGTAACAATGGTATATGGATAAAACAAACTGTGGTATATTCATACAAGAGAATACATTTACTAAAACTCATTGCACTATACCCCTAAAATGGATGACTTTTATTGCATACAAATTGTATACCAGATACTTGTTTAAAAGTTAACAATTTTTATTTAAAACAAAAAGATAAGTGTAAGATAAAAAGCAGTGGCTGGGCACAGTGGCTCACGCCTGTAATCCCAGCACTTTCGGAGGCCTAGGCGGGCAGATCACTTGAGGTCAGGAATTTGAGACCAGCCTGACCAACATGGCGAAACCCTGTCTCTACTAAAATCACAAAAATTAGCTGGGTGTGGCAGCGGCTGCCTGTAACCCAGCTAATCGGGAGGGTGAGACAGGAGAATCACTGAAACTGGGGAGGCGGAGGTTGCAGTGAGTCAAGATCGCACCACTGCATTCCAGCCTGGGCAACACAGTGAGACTCCGTATCACTCACACACACACACACACATACACACACACACAAGCAACAAAGTTACAAGTTTACATTAAGTTATAAATATACAATTAGTCCTCAGGAAACAGGAGTCATCCTCCCCCACCCTGCCACCCATTGGCTCCATATGTCCATTTTCATGTTTCTTCATGATTCCACTGTCATAGCAACACATAAGACCTTTCCAGCTTGGCTTCCAATAGTCTTGTGATATCCTAACTCCAAAATTAGGATATCACATGAATGGTCTAGCCTGCATCAGATAGGCAGCTCCGATATAAATACTTGTACCACTTTTGTTGGGGGAAGTGGTATGGGATGGGCTTTATGTTCCTTAGACCAACCCTACCCACTGGTTGTGAGAATGATGTCCCTAAATGTTGGACAGGTTTTTAAAGAAAAGCTACGGGCAAGGAGATTAGGTAACTGTCTTAACTGTTCCAACTGAAAAGGAAAAGTTTTCTGTTTTTTAATTCCTAACATTTTGAATTAAGATACTTCTTATTACACCTAACATATACCACTCTTATAATTTAAAAAAAAAAAAAAATAACTGTACCAAGAGGAAGTTAAATATCTTAAAAATCATTTTAAAAGTTATTAAATCTTTTGGTGCCTCAGTTTCTTCATCTTAATATAGAGATAATAAAATGGTTGTGCGGATTAAGTGAGAAAATATGTATAAAGCATGAATTAAATTCATGAATATTAACAAACATTGCTCCTGATTTTTTCCCACTTGAAATGTCTTCTGAGCCTATAATTTCAATACTTATTTTTCCATATTAAGTTTATAAACCATATGCTATCACTAAAATCTCTACTAAACTACAAAGAATTATATGCTATAATCTCAGAAAAAAGCCAAGCCTTCAAAAAAAAAGCAACAACTTTTTTCAGTCATTAACGCAAGACAAAATGTGTTAAATTGTTAAAATAATAAGTACTCACTAACATACACAGTTCTAGAGTATCATGACACTCACTGTTCTGCACTGTGCACTGTAGACATAAAAATTAAAAGGACAAGGGCAGTCTTGCACTATATATTTATAAGCAAATTGCACCGAGGAAGAAGCATGGCCTGGAGAAGTCTTTAAACCCATTTGAGTAAAATCTTATGGGGAAATAAAAAGGCTAATGGCTAAATATGTATAAAAAGGCCAGTGGCTAAATATGTATAAATATGTAGTAAGAGATAGATTTGGAGGATTCTAGTAGCATTGGTGGAACATCAGCAGGTTGGAAGAGAGTGGCGTAATATTATGAAGATGGTCCTTGGGAAGAGAAGTTGGTACCAGACTCTGAAGGGCTCTGTAAATAAAAAGGAAAGCTAAGAAATTTGAATTATATATGGTAGACAATGGGAAGCCATCAGAGATTTTTATGGAGGAACATCTGGAAGGAGACTGAAGAGAGGCAAGAAATACTACTTTTTTAAAAAAGCATAAACTTTTGAGTTAAATCTAATTTCCGACTTCAGTTCCAATGTGTTATTAGTTGTGTGAGAACAAATTACTGAGCCACTCTTAGCCGGTTTTCTTATTTAAAGATAATAACTACCTCAGCAATATTGTAAAGATTAATGAATGTATGTGATGCAGTTTTTACAGTTTAGTAACTCAATGTAATTGGAGACTTATGTATCATTTGCTATGTGGCACACACTATTCTAAGGTCTTTGTATATATTAACTCATTCAACCCTCACAATAAATCTACAAAGTAGGTAACCTCATTATATGGTAAAGGGAAATGAAGCACAGAGAGGTTAAACAGCTTGCTCAGGGTCACCTAGCTATCAAGTGGTGGAGATGGGCTTCAAACCAAGGCAATCTGGCCCCAGTTCCAGGTCTTTAATCAACACATTATAATGCCTCTCTAGGACAGATCAAATCAGTGTTTTTAAAACTCACAGAATTTTCTAACCTTTCAGTTAAACATGCAGACTCTTCAAGGTCATCCTCCAGATCTACTGATTCGGAATCTGACGTCTGGAGTGCAGGAATCAGTATTGAACAAATCCTTCAAGGTAATGTATACAATAAATTCTGAAACTCACTGATTCAAGAAACAGCAAAAATTCAATGAAAATAATACAGGTAGAAAAAAAGGAAAGAGATTAGGATATAGCGATCCATTTTTAAAAATTACCATTTGTTGACAGCACATATGAATTGAGCAGAAAGGCTAAGAGAAATATAGCCAATGTCTTTGTTACAAAGACCATATGAAAAATGCTCATATTTTAACTATCCTAAACACCGAGTATTTACATCTATTCTTCCTGGCTAACACTTAAAACAAAAGTTCAATAGCAGGAAGAATGGGTGTGCTGGAATAGCCAGCATGGGAGGAAGGAATGTCTTTATTCTGATTATTATGAAGTCCTACTTTTAAAAAGATATTTATACATTTACATGGTACAATATCATGGTGTTAAAATCTTAAAAGGAACTTAAAATATCTTTTAGTATTAAGCTACACAAAACTGACGATTTTTAATAAAGATATAAAACTTGTACACATTTAAAGTTCCCATTTATAGTTTACACTTATGGCACACTTTTAAACCATTCCAGAAGGCATGACTTTACTACTGGGTTAGACAGAGTTCCATATTTCAGATAGTTCATTATTAAAAATAAAAAAGCCCAAAATAATAAAACCCAAAGAAAACAGATGCTCAAAGCATTAGTGGATTACTTCCAAAAAGACTCCATAATAACCCAGTTGGCCAATGAATGAGGGAGGCGAAAAGGCAGGGCGGTGGAACTAAACCTTATCCCTATTGTTTGCAAACTAAGACCCTAGAGAATCACCACCGCTGTTACTATAGCCGGTTTAAATAAGCAAGAGTCTCGAATTTTTGCGGTACATGAAAAATGTCAACCGTGAAAGAAAAATATCCGGGTTTTAAATACAAAGGATACTCGAATTTCAGTTTAAATGCCACCCAGGCATTTCAAAGACTGTCACTTCCCTGCAGTCCAGAGTTAATCAAGGTTGTCCGGGTATCTCTCTTAGTAGGAACTCGGAGCCACGTAGAGCATCTTTTCATTCTAAACCTGCCCCAATCTTCCATCTTTCATAAAAAGAGATTTGTTTAAACGTGGCAACGCTTTCACAATGAGATTTAACGACTGTTGAAGCTTCAGCATTCAAGTCGAATTGGTGGATATAATAAACTACGGGTTAAAAAAAAAGCCACGGAGGATGCGTATAAACAAGGTTTACTCTTGGGGGACCGGCAGGGCCTCCGAATCCTCAACACTGAGGGCTGGCTGGTGTGCGCAACAGTCGAGAGCGCTGATCGGCAAACGCCCCCAGTGTCCCGAATTCCCAAAGTCTCCAGGCCCGGACCCAGCACCAGACGTCCCCAAAACCACTGCGAGGCCCCTGCTGCGCCGTCCGGCCTCCTGACACCCTCTCCCACCCCACGGTCCCGCTTCTCACTCTGGAACGCTCTGCGTCTTCCCGTTCCCCATTTACTCACCAAGGCGAGCTGGACAGAAGTTCCAGAGCGTCAGTGCCACTTTTCCCGGCCCGCTCTGCGTGACCGCACGCCGATCGCGAGCAGCCACATTCAACGGCCCACAGGATTCAAATTCGCCCACTTCCGCTCGCAAACCCGGAAAGAACGGTCAGCCCCGCCCCCGGGGGCGGAACCCTAGGAGGTGCTAGTTATGGGGAAGGGCCCTTGCGCTCCCGTCCTGCTGCCCGGTGGTAACCTGGCTGTGTCGCCTTGGCTTGTTTGTTTTGTCTGGTCTCTCTCCCTGTTTAGGAGCTCAGAAAAACGCCGGGCGCGGGGTCGTTGTTTCCGCCTATTTGCTCTTGAGGGAATTCTCTTGTTTCCGAAGTGGACAGAGATGTGCTGAAGTTTCGTCACCTTCGAGGAATGGGGCTAAGGAAACCACGAACCAAGCCGGAAGGGTTTTATCTTTCCCTTCATCCTCGAGGAAACAGCAGCAGCAGCAAGAAGGAAAACAAACCAACCCTCCAAATACTTAGTGCAGCCTTTCCTGGGCCTCCTCAGTCCTATCCCGGCACAGTCAGGGCTTTTAATTTCTTTCTGTCCCGGGTTTGGGGAAAACAAAAAGCCAAGTTCACCCGTATTCAGCCAAAAGTTCAAAATAAATGGTGTGACCAGTTCCTGGTCTCAAATAAACTATTTGATGGTAAGTGTTAGAAGGCAATAAATTTTATTTCCCCCCTCTGATACGGGCTCACTTGACGAGATTATTAAGTATTGTCCCGTGAGATTATTGAAACTACAGTATCTTTTCCTTTATCGAGGACAACAGTGTATCTTTCATCCAAAACCTCTTAAGCTTCTGAAGAGACGTCTATCTGGGAGCTTCCAGAAACTAAAGGAAGGACTGGAAATGCACTAAATAACTCTGACCTTTATGGCTGCGATTGATGTTGGCACCAGATCATCCTCACATCTAATAGCATTGAATTACCTAAACGGATCAGTACAAACCAAACCATGACAGCATACCTTTAGCCTTTGTCAAAAATATAGTTTGAAAGGTTTACTAGATTTCTGGGAACCTGCACAGGGGGTGTGGAAACCGTTAACTGATGTACTGTTTTTAACAGTGGAAGATAGAAAAGAACCTGTGTCTACAAATAAGGGGTTAAATACATGTAAGTTTTGATACTTTAGCATCTAATATACTGACACTGTGGGCACTAAAAGTAATGAAGTAGATCAGCAGGTACTGAAATGAAATATTGAAAAAAGTTTAAGAAGGACTGTAGTATCCTTTGAAAGTATATGTGTGTATATGGTGTACAAAGTTTGGGGATGGATTCATAAGCTGTAAACATCTCTGGGAACGGGACTGGTAAATAGGAGTAGGAAGAGATGGAGAACTTTTACCTTTCACTTTATCACCAGTTGTATTTTTAAGATAATAAGTTTTTTTTTAATTTCACAATTTTGTTCTTTAAGGAAGATTGTTAGAAACTGAATATATTCTAGTTACAAAATCAGGTTTAATAAGCGTATAAATTTCTAATGTTTAGATAGTCTATGTCCATTCATTCATTCAGCAGTTCTTTCTACACTTACATATAATGATTTGACCACACATTTTGTCATTCATGATATATTGTATTATTTTATGTTTCACATATCTAATATGACCCCGTTAAATATATTGCTCCTTGAAGTTTCTTGAAGGCAGAAACTATGTCATATATTTTCCTAGGTCTTTCATAATTCTTGGCACCTTCCCACCATTAAGTCTTATCCTTCACAGAAATTAAATTCTCAAGTTGACCTGTACACAAAAGTTAAAAATGCCCTGGAAAAGTCACCCAAAAGATTATACATATATCTGATTTTCTTTATACAACTCCATGGGCAAGGTCTTTTATATATATATATATATAATTAGTTTGTCGCCTGAGTTCTCCTTGGTCAGTCCTTCTCTACAACCCTTAATGAATTCTTCAATTTCTTCCACTAAAATGTTGTCAAAGTCATTATCACCCCGCAGCCTGGCTATCACTTGGAATAATGAGATTCAGTTCTCATCAGTGGTGGAGAGCCCTGTAAAGTCATTCACATTTTTTCCCCATAAGATTAGCCAGGCTTAATTGTATTAATTGTCTAGGGCTAGTGTTCACTCAGTGGCCTATCTGGTTATTTGTACTATTTAAAATGTTGTTCTTTCTTTCACCCAGAGTGAGTATAGGTGATTTTGAATACAAACAATATTCAAGTAATGTTACAGCATTTCGTGAAAAAAAAAGATCTTCAATAAACACCCATTGACTAAATGAAAGAGCCTGAGTAAATACAACTTACGGACTTTTGAAAGAAAATATTCATTGCAGGATATACTTAAATCTAACAAACCTGGCCATCAGACCGGGCATTCTGTGAGCTTATAAACATTTTAAATTAAGTGAAATTAACATAAGTATTCCACTTAATACATGCTGCAAAAAATGAAGAATAAAACTAGGAATTTTATTCAGTCTCTGATAATCCCTCAGTAATGTGAACTAGGTGAGAACTGAATTTTTAGAAAATTTGAGTCATAGCTAATGTAACCTTCTCTCTTTCCTGCTTTCCTCTTCATATTCAATCCATATACAGCAGAAAACAAGACAAAAACACTTCTGGGACCAAGGGTCATCAATTTTACATGGAAGAAACAACATAAACTGCTTTGGCAGAAGAGTTCCTATAATCTACGCTGAAAGATTTTTACCGCAACCACATGAGGAACAAAAATGATAAAATGTGTAGAAATTTAAAGAAAATTCACAAAACTAAATTGGAATTCGATTTAATTTAAAATAATTTTAAAATTTTAACTATAGTTTTAAAAAATTTTATTTAAGAAAGATATAGAACCTGCTACTTTATAATTTGAGAACATAAGTGATTTCAATGTTCATATAGGAAAATTAATATATAAGAATTGTTAAGACATATTAGAAAAAGAAAACAGAGGTTGAGAGTAGACAATTTGTCTTACTAGATAGTAAAAACTTACCACAAAGTTGCTACAAAGAGTAGCCAAAAAAAAAAAAAAGACAAAAAATATAGTATTAGCACAAAAAAGAAAAATACTTAGAGAACCCAGAAAAATGAAACTATATAGAGAATATTAATATATTATAAAGGTGATATTTCCATTTCAGGGAAAGGATGGATTCATTCATAAATTAACAAGAACTGGAAATAACTGGCTAGCTATATGGAAGGTATAAAGTTAGGCCTGTACCTTTTATCACATACAAAATAAATTCTGGAAGGATTAAAGATTGAAATTTAAAAAAACAAAACAAAAGTATATTGGGGAGAAGTTTAGAACGGTAACTGTGACTTTAGGGCAGAAGGGATTTCTTAAACAAGGCAGGGCCAGGTGCAGTAGCTCTTGCCCGTAATCCTAGCACTTTGAGAAGCCAAGGCAGGAAGATCACTTCAAGCCAAGAGTTTGAGACTAGCCTGGGCAACATGGCGAGACCCGTGGCTCTACGAGAAACAATTTTTTAAAAAATTTATCTGGGTGTGGTGGTGTGCACCTGTAGTCCCAGCTACAGAGGTGGGAGGATCCCTTGAGCCCAAGAGTTGGAGGTTGCAGTGAGCTATGCACCACTACACTCCAGCCTGGGTGAGAGAGCAAGACAGGAATCCTAGAAGCTGTAAAATAAAAGATGAGTATGTTTGATTATGTTAAAGTTTAAAATATTTAAACAGCAAAAATCACCATGACACATTGAAAGATAAATGAGAGACAGTGATGAAATATTTATAAAATATAGGACACTAGGTTAACAATTCTAATGTAAAAACTTTTATAATTTCTTTTCAAAAAGCAATAAAAATGGGCAGAAGAAATGAACAAGTAATTCACTGAAAAGGAAATGAAAGAGGACAAGACAAAAAATCCTCAACTGTACTACCTCACTTTTGGGAATACAAATCAACCAACCAAATACCAACTTTATTGGATTAGCAAAAATTAAAACAATTCACAATATCCCACAATGGAAGGGTGTGGTGGTAAAATGTACACCTCTTTTTTTTTTTTTTTTTTTTTTTTTGAGACGGAGTCTTGTTCTGTCGCCCAGGCTGGAGTACAGTGGTGCAATCTTGACTCACTGCAACCTCCACCTCCCAGGTTTAAGCAATTCTCCTGCCTCAGCATCCTGAGTAGCTGAGATTATAGGCATGCGCCACCACGCCCGGCTAATTTTTGTATTTTTTTAGTAGAGATGGGGTTTCACCATGTTGGTCAGGCTGATCTTGAACTCCTGACCTTGTGATCTGCCCACCTTGGCCTCCCAAAGTGCTGGGATTACAGGCGTGAGTCACTGCGCCCGGCCAAATGTACACTCTTATCTACAGGAGCATACATTGCTACAATTCTTGGAGAGTAACTCGGGCTTTTCTCAACTTTGGGATTCTCCTATAGAAATAAGCATGCTAGTGCTTTTTGAAGCACTACTTATAGTGACTGCTAACTGGAAACCACTGTCAAGTGGAAGATAATTGAATGAGTCAGGGTACATCCATCCTGTTAGGAGGCTATCCAAAGTTGTGTTGCTTTGCCCCCTAAACCACTGCCTCCAAAGTTAGGACTATTGAACCCCCAAAGACATGCAAATAAGAAGAAGGTATGGTATTCTTTAGAGAAATAACAATGCTCTCTTACACTGTAATGCTGATAAACCTGGCACTCATTCTTAAATTAGCACCCACTAGAATTAGTATACACTTTTGGACTAAACTGTCCTTTACAGGAACTCATTCCTCCCCTGTGTTAGCCATATTGAACTTCTGGTAACCCTTCCTGCCTTTCAAATGAGTCAGGTTTTTTTTTTTTTTTTTTTGTTTTTTTTTTTTTACTCTCAGCCCCTACCTACATTTGAAGCAAATACTTGACTCATACTTAAGGCAGATCCATCCCTGAATGTCTGTTCACTTTTCTTTTATCTTCCACCTTGAAGATGAATTTCTAGCTTTTTCTCTAGCCTCTCTCCTCAGCAATACCTATTAATATTCTGCCTGTTATCTGATAACACCTCACTTATCTGTTGCTTGATTAGAGACCATTCCTGAGATCTTAGAATGAAAGTTTTTAATTAAATTTTCTGCTACTCAGAACCCTAATAGAGTCATACTATAAGAAGTATACTTTGAGGCCGGGTGCAGTGGCTCACACCTGCATTTTATGTGGCTCACATAAAATATGTCACAATCAGTTCCTCCTCAGAATACAGGCCACTGTAGCACTCTATTCCCAAACTTCTACTTCACTAATGTCTAACAAAAATGTAAAAGCATGAAATAGAGGTAATTCTCTTCTCCCCAATTGACTTTATATCTTAATCGTTCCTACTCTGCTCATGATCTTGTTACTGCTGCCGTATTTACCTCGGGTTTGTTTTTTACTTCCTCCTTTAGTGGTCTTTTTTTCTTCTTCCCCTCTCTGTGCTCACTGTCCTTATCTGTTACTTAGGCTTCCTCTATGAGTCTCAGCAATATTTGAATACTTTGGAATACACTTAGTATTTCTAATTATGGCATTAATGCTGCAAAATTTTCATCCTATGATTCCAAAATAAATTAGCCTATATTATAATAATTATTATTAATTGTTGAGACAGGATCTTGTTCTGTCACTCAGGTTGGAAGTGCAG